TTCTAGTCTGTTCTAGTCTGTTCCATGTGCCCGGGGCTTATTCAGAAGCATCAGCAGGAGGTGCTGGAGGCAGCCTGGTTGCTGTGGAAGGAACCGGCAGCTCCAGGGTGCATGCCCCGTGGGTGTGGCTGCCCACGACTCGGGGAGAGGACTCTCCCCCGCTGCCAGTGTGGGGGGGAGGTGTGCGGCCCCACAGCGCCCATTCTTGTGGCTCCAGTCTGTGGGCGAGCCGCCTCTGCCATGTGACGGGGGTGTGGAGACCCTTGGGTGCATCGCCTGGGGCCACCCAGGAGCAGGCTGCATCTGCCTCTGCTGTGGGCCCTGCCTGTGTTCTCGGTGGCCTATTGGGAGGGTGCCAGGCTAACTCTGGCTTCGCGAGTGCCCTGGTTCCTGCTCATTCCATGCCCTGCTCTGGGCTCGGGCTGGCCGGGGACTGGGGCCAGCTCCCTCCCGGGAAGGACAGCCTGGAGGTGTCCAGGGAATGGGCCCAAGTCCCTCTGCTCCAACCCACTCGCCGCAGGAAGCAGCGGGCGCAGCTCAACACTGTGGAACCTGGTTCTGGACGAGAGGATGGAATCACTGAGAGGAGCACTGAGGGCCATTACTGGGGTCCCTTGGAGCCCCCTACACTACTTCTGCAGTGCTCAGGGGACCAGGGATGTTGCTGTGGGTCGGGCCAGGCAGACACATGCCTGGCCTTGTAGCCCTGGCCCCCCACCCCCCAGTTTTCCCCCCTCCCGCCCCCCAAGCCCAGTGAGACGAGCCTGGCTGTGGAGTCGCCAGCCCAGGCGGAGTGTCTCTTTCCGCTGCTGTTCTCCTCTCAGAATCAGGAATTCACCGTCCTGAAACAACCTCTCTGCAGAGAAGGATGCCGTGACTGGCGGGGGACATTCTCTGGGACGAAAACAGCCCCACCATCCCCACTGGGTCCTCCACGCCCTCTTCCCTCTCCCCTCGGAACCGCTCCTCCATCCTCTCCCTCCATACCTCAGTTTCTCCCTCCCGCACTCCCCTTGAGCTCTGGCTCTTTCCCGAACCCCCCTCGCCCTCCTCTTCTCTCCTACAAACCTGCCTTTTCATCAAACCACCCGAGGATTCAGACGAGCCTCAGCTCTCGCTCCTGGAGCCTGGCCACGCGGTGAGCTATAATTAGCTTCCCCAAGTCTCTGGGGACTCCTCACAGAATTTGCTTAAAATTTAACATCCGAATTTGCCATCCTGGGTTTTTCAGATCTATTCGGGTTCGTCCACGTGCCCAGCAGAGGGGCCCAAGCCCCGCATGACATTGGGCAGATGGCAGCGTCCTGGACGGAGCTGATAAACCAGCCCATAACTTTTGGCAGAAGACTCGGAAGCCCACGAGAGATTCCAGACAAGGCGGCAGCTCCCTCTGAGCTGCGGCTGGAGCGGAGCCCGCGGCACATGTGGCCCTGCAGATGCGCTCGCGCCTGGACGTGACTTCAGGTTGTCTTCAAAGCAAACTCCTCCTCCTTCAGCTGCACAAGCCACCTGGCTCGCCTTGAGCTCCGTGAGCGGACCGAGCCGAGACTTTCCTTCTGGCTGAACGGATGGGACTCACCGGACCCTCCCTCTGTCCAGACTCAGGTGGTCCCTTGGTGTGTCAGCTCACTTGCATCCAAGATGAGCCGCTTCAGAGCCAGATCCTCCAACTCCTCGATGCTCAAGCCTGGCCTGGGAAGGGCCCTGCACAGCACAGAGGTCCAGCCCTCGCTTCTGCTGTGGCCGCACAGCTCGGGACACTGGGAAGGAGAGTGGCAGGACAAGCATGCTCAATGCTGTCTGCCGTCCTCTCCTGGCTCCTGGCCACCAGCGCCACCCAGACCTCCGAGATGCCACCCAGACCTTGGCGACAGCTTCAGATGGAGGCAGTGAGCCTCGAGCCCCCTCTTTGGGATAAGTGTGCCAGAACTTTGGGGATGGTCATGCCAGCGTTGCTGTCCTTGATGGCAGCATGCCCTTCCCCGGGGAGCACCCCGCATGCCCTTCCATCCTCAAGGCCCAGCTCTGTGCCCCAAGGCTGTCCTGACCCTTCCGAAGTTTTGTGCTCCCAGGACTGGATGGGCCACTCTCGCAGCATCCAGGGACAGGCAAGGACCAGCCTGCCGAGTTCCCATCACCCTCTGCTCTGCGCTGAGGTCATTCAACATTAGTGAAATGAGCACAAGAGCTGTAGGCTGGGTCTGACGAGGCTGGGTTCTGTGGTAGCTTGGGAGGACGGAAGTCGGAGGCCAGGAGTTTGTTTCTTTGGAGTGAAGAAAGGAACTAGCTGCCATGGTCTCCTGCATTGACGGTGACCCTATGTATAGCCATCGCTGGCATGTTGCTGCAGAGAGCACACGTGTTGCCCAAAAGCTTATGTTTGTGAAAGTTTGTTGCATTCAAATGGACCAATGGATTTTGTTTTCTTTTGTGGGTCACACCCAGCAATGCTCAGGGCTTACTCCTAGCTCTGCACTCAGGTATTACTCCTGGTGGTGCTTGGGGGCCCATATGGGATGCTGGGAATCGAACCTGGGTTGGCTGCACACAGGACAAATGCCTTCCCTGCTGTGCTATTGCTCCAGCCCCATGGGATTTTTTTTTAATCTAAACTAGTTATTTCTAATAAGACTCCCCTCTCTGGCATCCAATTCTGTTTGAATGTAATTATATGAATTATGTTCAGGGTTGAGGGGTCCTGAAATCATTAATTGCGGTCTTTAAATTTTTCGTCCTGAGGTCTAATTGACATATAACTTTGCTTCAACACAATTCGGTGTTTGTATACATCATGAAATGACCAACATTAAGTCCATTCTGAGTTGGTGTTTGAAGATTCCACACACACACGATGTTTTTACGGCCTCACTTGACTTAGCAACATTCCTTTATGGCCCATCATTTCCACAAATGGTGAAATTTCCTTCTTCTGTCAGGCTGAGTAGCGTTCTCTCGGGATGTACACACAGAAAAGCACAGACCCACCCGCCCGCCTGTCCGACAGTCCATAGTGAACCCCTGAGTTCCGCTACTTCTTGGCTTTCATAAATGATGCTATAAAACCTGGAGAATATCTAGATCTCTCTTAATTTCTGTCTGGTCTTTGGATGAACACCCTGAGGTGGGCTTTGTGGGTCACGTGACACTTCTACTTCATTTTCCGAGGAGCCACTCTGTTCTTTCCATAGTGACTACCCGTCTCACATTCCTGCCCACAGCCCAAGAGGGTCATCCCCTCCTTCTACAGCCCCCCGCCACCACCAACACTCTGTTTTTTTACTTTTAGGGGTTTCCTTTGCCTCTAATTTGGGGTCAGGCCCAAGCATTTGTCACCAAGACCTCTGTCAAGTGGCTCCCTGGCTACATTTCTTTCTAGGTGTTCCCCTTCGTTCAAGTCTTTAATCTGTTTTGTGTGGTCTACTGCCAGGCAAGTGAGTCCTGGGTAACGAGAGCTTGGATCCATGTGAGAGCTCTGGGATATAAATACCCAACATGTGACCCCAGCTTATTGCTGCCTCTGTGCTTGGGGCACCACAGGGTGCCAGGGATGGAGCCCAGGGCACTAGCAAGCGAGGCCTGGCCTTCAAGCCTTTGGGTGATGAGGAAGAGAGTATGTGAGGTTGTCTTGGAAGCTCTCCATTCTGGCTCTGTCTTGGCCTAAGCGTGTGTCCAGCCCATCAGCACTTCACTCCCTTCATTGTCTGCCTCTAGAACTCTTTCCAGAATACCAAGCCCATATGATTCAGGGCTGGAGCGATAGCACAGCAGCAGGGCGTTTGCCTGGCACGCAGCCAACATGGCTGACCTGAGTTCGATTCCTCCGCCCCTCTCGGAGAGCCCAGCAAGCTACCGAGAGTATCTCGCCCGCACGGCAGAGCCCGGCAAGCTCCCCGTGACGTATTCGATATGCCAAACACAGTAACAACAAAGTCTCCAATGGAGACGTTACTGGGCCCGCTGGAGCAAATCGATGATCAATGGGAGGACCTTTACCTTTACCTTTACTTTATGATTCAGGGCACAGGCAATCACACTCACACAGTGGAATGAGTAGGAACTGATTCTGGAGGGGAAGTCTGATGCCTGTGTGCCTGGTGACTACTGAAGGCCTTGACCATGGCTCACAGCTTCCCTCTGGTTCTCTTGCAGGGAGCCGCTCAGCTTTCCCCAGCCGGGCAGGACACAGGGCACAGAGATGCCCAGGTGGAAACTCATTGTTGGCAGCGAGTGCACATGTTGGAGGTTGTCAAGAGGCCGGTCACTCTGTCCAGTGGTCCCTATTCTCCTAGACCCGGTCACTATGACTTTGGGGTCTGTCTTTACCCACACAGGAATCAAGAAGTCAACACAAGCAAATATGCTTAGAGTTTGTTGACTTTAAAAATGTGGAGAGTGAAATAGTGTTGAGTGGTGGGGATGGAGGTGGGGAAAGATTTCAATTTGGGCAAGGAAATTCAATAGGAAGAGAACAATTTTTGCTAGAGAACTCTGAGTTTGGGCTTTGATTTGTTCAAATTTATAGAGTGATAATTGGATTAAAATTAGGGCTCAGCATTTGCAAAGTTTTGAAAGTAATTGTTTGGAAAGAAGCCTTCTCCACAATCAATTATGATACTTAATTGGAGCCACAAAATTTCCATCCCTAAATTTGTCAGATGCTTATTTGAGAATCTCATTTAGGTTTATGTCTTAGCCAACTTGAGTGTCTTATAAATCTTAGAGTTTGAACTACTTATCAGAAAAAAACAGTGATTCTTTTTTCTTTTGATTGATTTTTTTTATAAAGTTCATAATTTATTACATTCAATATTCATCACACACTGTCACACTGTCCTCCCATTGTTCATCGATTTGCTCGAGTGGGCCCAGTAACGTCTCCATTGTGAGACTTCTTGTTACTGTGTTTGGCATACTGAATACTCTCGGTAGCTTGCCAGGCTCTCTGAGAGGGATGGAAGAATCGAACCTGGCTTGGCCAGGCTGGCTGTGCACAAGGCAAACGCCCTACCACTGTGCTATATACTAAAATTGGAACGATACAGAGAAGATTAGCATGGCCCCTGCACAAGGATGACACGCAAATTCAATATTCATATTATATTCAATATTTCAACACCAATCCCACCACCATTGCACATTCCCAGCACCATTATTTCCATTTTTTTTCAACCATCCCTAAAGCCTGCCTCAGTAGCATGCTCTGAGTAACTTATTTTATATTGCTTGTTATAATTTGCTAAAAATGATCAAAAAATATTTCCTTAGAAGAAAGTGTGTGAATATTGCTGCGTCTCACAATTAAGCCCTTCTACAAGGGCTTAATGGAATCATTAAACCCTTGTAGAAGGGATTACTACTATGTCGTAACAGGTTAAGCCTTGTGTGTTTATATTTTCTTAACCAAGATTGGTTGCCCCCTACTTTACATCCCAATACATCATGTTCTTCCTGGTTTATCAGTGGTGTAGAATTCAGCCAATCACTCCAGGAATTAAAAAATTAAAAAAAATAAGTTAACAGCTGGAGATAAATTTTTAACTGGTTGGTGACTTTGGGTGCCCTGGAAGACTCAGCCTGGGGTCCAGAAGCATCTCTGCACCTTGATCTCTTTTAAGATTTATTTATAACTCTTTGGATCATGGTTGGTTAATGAGCTTATTTGCTTGCCAGAGGTAGTTCATGGGTGTGGCTGCCAGGCTTTCAGAAGAACAGGGAGATTGTGGGCGGGTGGGGGTGGGTAGGTAGCCCAATCCTGACTCTCAGAGCCTAAAACCAGTGGTTCTTGATTTCTGGGTGTCCAAGAGCAAAACAAACCAAGTGGTTGGGTATCAAGTATAAGGATTATAACTGAATTTAAATGTCCCTTTTAGGAAAAAGAAACATTTTCCTAGAACAATCGAACTTGACTAAGTCTAGAAAATAAGATACTAAATCTTGGGGGTGGTGGTGGGAAGACTTAACATATAAAACAGGAAAACATTCAAGGGGGAAATCTGGAAATAAAAGTTTTAAAGTTCTGTGGCAAGTTCAAGTCTTTTGAGAAACTCTGTAGTAAATTATGACAATATTAAGTACTGTGAATTTAAACAATTAGAAAGCAATTGAAAATATTCAAGGGAGAAAGTATTCTTTGACAGTGATCAATTTTTTAGCTACTGCTGTAAAGATATTTTAAGGATATTTGCACTAAGGAGATATTTCTCTGTCATAAAGTGCTAATGGGTTATTTAATAATTTAATGGTAATGATATATTTTACCTCTGCAATATCTATAAGATTGCTAGATGTTATACATTTAAATTGAAGGAATACTTGATTATAAACCATGCAAAAAAGGAAGCATATGCCCTAAACTAGACATTTAGGCATTTACCCTAAGGCTAAGGAATTTCCTATGATTATGCATTTTGAAATTCTTACAACTTTATGTGAAACCAGAGTTTATATCTGTTATCACGACGATCACGACCATCCTGTTATTCGTCGATTGCCTCGAGCAGGCGCCAGTAACATCTCCTTCCTCCTAGCCCTGAGATTTTTATTTATTTTTATTTTTTTATTTTTTTAATTTTTTTTTATTTATTTATTGAATCACTGTGGGAAAGGTTACAAAGCTTTCAGGTTTATGTCTCAGTCATGCAAATATCAAACACATTTCCCTTTACCAATACTTATTTTTTACCATGAAGAACCCCAATAAAACCCCACCCCCCACCCCTCCCCGTCCCTGTGAGGCAGATGAATTCTAGTTAACACTCTATCTGCTTTGATTAGATTCATTGTTTCAATAAAAGATTCACCACTATTATTTAGAGTTTACCCCCCCCCCCCCCAAATCAGACATGTTGAAAAAGCATTGTGAAGTGATTTGCTTTCTACGGCTGGGTTCAAGAATTAAATGTTGGTTTTGGATTTCTGCTCTTTTACCTATTGACCCTGGAAGTATTTCTACTGAAAGTCAGATAGTTAAGAAATTGGTTTCTGTGTTCTGGAGTCCTGGCCGTGCTGGAGAGCCGCTCGCGGGGGGACCGGTGGCCTCGGTAGGGCGTGAAGGGCGGAGCGAAACGCCCCCCTTCCCATGAGGTTTTAGTTGCCCCCACACTCCCGGCTCATACCTGCTGTCCACAAGGCTCCCATGTGGCCGCCATCTTTCTTTCCAGAGAGGAGAGGGCGAATGGGGCAACACCCTTTCCCCTCCGGCAGACTTGATGGCCTGGATCAATGCATAGTCCGTTCACTTTTCTGCTCCAAGCTGCTGGGTTCTGCATTAAGTCCTTGTGCTTCTGGGGCCGTGGCCGTGCTGGAGAGCCGCTCGCGGGGGGCAACTGGTGACCTCGGTAGGGCGTGAAGGACGGACCGGAACGCCTCCCTTCCCATGAGGTTTTAGTCGCCCCCACACCCCCGGCTCATACCTGCTGTCCACAAGGCTCCCATGTGGCCGCCATCTTTCTTTCCAGAGGGAGGAGGGCGGAAGGGAGCAACACCCTTTCCCCTCTGGGCAGAAATGATTGCCTGGATTAACGCATAGTCCTTTCACTTTTCTGCTCCAAGCTGCTGGGTTCTGCATTAGGTCATTGTGCTTCTGGGGCTGTGGCCGTGCTGGAGAGCCGCTCGTGGGGGCAACTGGTGGCCTCGGTAGGGCATGAAGGGCGGACCGAAACGCCCCCCTTCCCATGAGGTTTTAGTTGCCCCCACACTCCCGGCTCATACCTGCTGTCCACAAGGCTCCCATGTGGCCGCCATCTTTCTTTCCAGAGAGGAGAGGGCGAATGGGGCAACACCCTTTCCCCTCCGGCAGACTTGATGGCCTGGATCAATGCATAGTCCGTTCACTTTTCTGCTCCAAGCTGCTGGGTTCTGCATTAAGCCCTTGTGCTTCTGGGGCTGTGGCCGTGCTGGAGAGCCGCTCGTGGGGGGCAACTGGTGACCTCGGTAGGGCGTGAAGGACGGACCGGAACGCCCCCCTTCCCATGAGGTTTTAGTCGCCCCCACACTCCCGGCTCATACCTGCTGTCCACAAGGCTCCCATGTGGCCGCCATCTTTCTTTCCAGCTAGCCCTGAGATTTTTAAAAAAGTGCAATATTCAAGGCTCTTTCAGAGTTAGGAGAATGAGACCCATCATTGTTACTGGTATTTGGCATATTGGGTATGCCACGGGAAGTTTGCCAGACTCTGCCGTGTGGGCAGGTTATATTCGGTAGCCTGCCAGTTTGTCCAAAGTAGGAATGAGATAATAAGATGTTGCGTGGCCACAAATGCGGCTGTGCGCTTCCGGGAACTGGGTTTTATATCTGTTATACTTGGTTTATTATTAGAATTAAGTGAACCCAAGTATATCTTTTGGCTACATAATCCCACAAATATGTGTCATAGCCCCACAATATAAAATTAGATTACAGATGTTTGATTTTGTGACCAAATATATTGGTAAATGGTAAGTAGGTGTAGCCTACAGAAGGTTGGGTGATTTCTTTTTAGAAAGGCAAGATTTACTGTCTTTCCCCAAAATTCTTGATATTGATAGATCTCCCCATCTCCCAGTTTCCTCCAGAGAACACTGAAAAGCTAATCCATGTAAGCCCTATGGATTCCAGCAAACTTCTTCAAGGTCCACTTTTTCAGAACTGGAGCAAGGAGCCTGCACTGCACTGCCAAAGGCCAGTCAGGGGAGGGCGTCTTGTCCCGAGGCGTCCCTGTTACGGTGCTAGATGTCATTGTCATTGTTCTGTGACCTGGGTCCTCTGATGCATTTGGGGCCTGTAATGTTCCCCCTGGTCAGTGGACGAAGGAACAGGGCTATATGCTGGTAATCAATGGCTGGTGATCAGTGGTGGTTTATTCAAACCTCTCGGCGGTATTATATAGGAATCGTGAAGGACTGGGCCACAGCAGTTCCCCACAGGAGTGGTTGAACGTTAACATAAACAGTGAACAGAAGGAAAGCTCCTCCTTCAGGGAAAGCCCTGCTATGAGATACACCCAAGGATGGAATATCACCTAGATATCCAGCATTCTAGATTCTACTAGGAGATCTTCCCAAGGGCTAAGTTCCATCCATGGGCATATAGCTTTCTCCTTCCCTTTGCTGGTAATCCATTTAAACAGTCATATTAAGTTTACTTCTTAAATCGCTTTGTATAAACATAGTAAGAAATAGTTAATCACTTAACTTCCCATTAGTCGTCGATTTGCTCGAGCGGGCGCCAGTAATGTCTCCATTTGTCCCTGTCGCGTGCTAGTGTAGCATCTGTTCGCTCTGGGAACATGAAGAGCCTCAAACCGATCGTTCATGATCTTGATGAAGAAGTCTGACCATCTGGTAGGTGGGCGGCCACGGGGTCTTTTGACATCCCGTGGAATCCAGTCGGTAACAGCTCTAGTCCAGCGGTCGTCTTTAAATCTCATTACGTGACCAGCCCATCTGATTTTTGACACCTTGGCAAATGAGACAGCGTCCCTGATTCTTGATCGTCGATGGATGTCGGAACTCTGGAGTAAGAAATACAAACCTTGTTTTTTGGGTGGGCTGGAGCAATAGCAGAGCGGGTAGGGTGTTTGCCTTGCACGCGGCCGACATGGCTGACCCAAGTTCAATTCCTCCACCCCTCTTGGAGAGCCCGGCAAGCTACCGAGAGGATCTCGCTTGCACGGCAAAGCCTGGCAAGCTACCCATGACGTATTTGATATGCCAAATATGGTAACAAGTCTCACAATGTTACTGGGCCTGCTTGAGCAAATTGATGAACAACGAGAGGACAGTGACAGTGACAGTGACAGTGACAGTGCTTTTTGGGTCACACCTGGCAATGCACAGGGTTTACTCCTGGCTCATGCACTCAGGAATTACTCCTGGCGGTGCTCGGGGGACCATATGGGATGCTGGGAATTGAACTTGGGTCGGCTGCATGCAAGGCAAATGCCCTACTCGCTGTGCTATCGCTCCAGCCCCGAAATACAGAGTTTTATCTAGACCCTAGATTAAGTTTAAAACGTGGCTTTTCCTAGGGACATCTCACACTATATCCCAGACTACAGCTCTCAGGCGAGATTAATTTTTCCTAACCCCAACAGGGTCCTAATTCAGTTACTTCTTTTTGGGTCATG